TTTTGTTTTTATTCTGGGGCAAAACACATCAAGCAGGGACTTATTTACATAACATTCTTATTTTATGTGTTTTCATTTTATTTTTTAAATTTTTGGCCAGTCCTGAGCTTGAACTCAGGGCCTGTGCACACACTGTCCCTAAGCTTCTTTTTCTCAAGGCTAGTATTCTACCACTTGAGCCACACTGCTACTTCTGGCTTTTATGTCTTTTATAGTTAAGATAATATATAATTAATCACAAACCTAAGGGGTAGGAATAGTAATCTCTTCTATTTCTCATAATTAAGATTTCTCCCATATGGTTATACAGGATGTTAAATGAATTTTATGCAAACAGGAGCAGGGAGAATCAGTAATTACCTAAAAAATTATTTAGCAACCCAACTATTAAACTTACTGATCAGATTTTGTTATTTTGGCTCTGCATTCAGGTAAACAAAATAGATCAAAAGACAGTTTCATATTCAAAATTATATTTTTCATTTAATAACATTTTCAAGTATCTCCTTTCCTCTAATTTACTGTCCCATTCAATAAATATGGAAGATTAGAATGACATAATATCCTCAAGGATCAAAAAGCAATCAGGAAACTAACAACACATATTAATGATGATTAGAAGAAAAAAATCTAGTAAATAAATGGACAGTGGAAGAATATACATTTAGGCCAAAAATTAAGCTTTTTTTGTGGGTCATAGGGCTTGAACTCCGGGCCTGGGTGCTGTCCCTCAGCTCTTCAGATCAAGGCTAATGCTCTACCACTTAAGCCACAGCGCCAACTAGATACATACATAGTTAAGTTTATATATAGCATATATATAATATTATATAGCATATGCTATATTATTTAAATAATATTTTGAAAATTAAGTTGTTTAAATTATATTCAGTCATTAAATACAATGTGATAGCAGAGCAACATAATTTCCTAGATATTCTCAAATCTCATAATTGGACTCTAACAAAGGAATTGTCATGAACCAGAGGAACACCATAATTAATCCAGGAAATAGGGCATAGGCACCAGGAATGTTATTTCTCTATTATACAATCATTAAAAGTATTGTGACAAAACACCACTCATTACAAAATTAAGGAATAAATTCAGAACAATGTGCCAACTTTAAAAATTAGTCATTTGACATGCTAGAATCAAAAAGATGGATGTATTTATTCATAATGTTCAAGTTATAAAGGACAAAGACACTGATGTGTCAGTTGATGAAGGTTTTCTATAAGGCTATAAAAAGACTAATAAAAGCAAAAGAGTTTCTTCTGTCTAATATTAGGCACCTTGAAGTTCAGAATTCTACAACTACTATAGTTAAGAAAAATCTCTACCGATTGACAACTTTGAAACTCAGAACCCTTTTTTTCATTTTTTGCTTCTACTGAACTTTATGTTTTTTTATTGTCAAGTTGATGTACATAGGGGTTACAGCTACATATGTAAGGTAATAAGTACATTTCTTCTGAGACTTGTTACCTCTTCCCTCATTTTCTCCCACCTTACCTCCCACCCCCTCCCCACTAGTACATATTATTTCCAACACATTATCTTGTGAATATTGCTGTTGCATTGGTTCCCCTCTTGTCCTTATCTTATACTTCATATTTAAACTCCCTATGACTGCATGAGAGGCTTTATTTACACCAGCTGATTACTTTCTAATACTGTTCCCTAACAAATAGAGTATTCTTGCCAGGACCAATCATGTCATTTGAGGCAGCTTTAGTCCATTTTTCAATCATATGTGCTCAAGGTGACAGAGTTATACAGAATTCAACACCATAGAGAACAAACTGGCTATTTTTTCTCATAATGGTCAATGTAATTACAAAATGATGTGATATTTTGTGTCCTAACCAATGAAAAAGACTTTTATTATCTTATATATATATACCTATTATAATGGTTCATGAAGACTATAATAATGAAACTAAGAGACACAGAAAGGTCTTCTGACTTGCACATATTTCTGAAATGTCATAATAAAGTTAGGGAATATTTAACAAGCTACTGTTAAAAGTAATCCTCGAGAAATAACCACAAGCTTTCTCAGTAATATAACTTATTCTGCCTTAGCCTATTTTGTCTATTTCAAGTAATTGATCAGCTCTTCAAACCTGAAAAAAGCAAAAGAAATAGAAAGTCCCATTTATAAAATAATACCTTTATTGTTATCTGCCTTTATTGCCATTTCCTCCTTCCTTACTTCTATGGGTCTTATCATTGATATTCAATGATTTCTACAAGTTTCTATCCTGGATTGATCCCCTAGAATTGGAGTGACACTGACTGAATGAATATAATAATGTTCTTTTTCAGTGGAAGGTCATATCATTCCTTTCAATGAGCGAAAACATGTTTCACACTGTAGGGGGAATCAGTAATTACTTCCAAGAACATTTAGGTCATCTAAATGACTCTCTAATCTGACTTCTAGCAACAACTAGAACATGAAAATGTTCCTGTCTCATGACAATCATTTGTTATAAATACAATGGCAAATTGAAGCATTGAAGATTGTCTACTTTAATTTAAAATCTTTCTTCTTGTTTTCAAGATATATACTAGTATAGTTTTTATTTCTTCAAGAGCTCATACTGAAAGTATTGAATCAGGTTCCATTGACCTCAAAGTCAGATTCCTCATAGTGAGCCTTGCTACTTCTTTTAAAACATGACTGTTGAAAAGCAAACAAAGGACTTAATATAAAATGTATTGTAATAAATGCAAATAGACTCTTCCTCAGAACAATACTTCATTGAATCATTTATAATATTTATCTTGCAATTGATGGTTTAATTATGATTCTTTGAACTTGTTCTGGATTTTTCAATTACTATTAATAATCTGTTTCACATAAAAGTATGCTGAAGTGGGCATTTTTCTTGCTGTTTTGTTACTGCAACTTAACTAAGGTTAAAGGTGAAAATTTTAAACAGGAGTCTGTGGCTCACATTTGCAATCCTAGTTACTCAGGAGGCTGAGATCTGAGGCTGAGGATTAAAAGCCATCTGGTGTAGCAAAGTCCATTAGATTATTTTTTGGGGGTGGGGTTTGTCGTGGGGCTTGAACTCTGGGTTTGTGCTGTCCCTACGCTCTTCAGCTCAAGGCAAGCGCTCTACCACTTCAGTCACAGTACCACTTCCTACATTAGATTCTTTTGCCTAAATAACTACCAAAAAGTTGGAACTGGACCTGTGGCTCAAAGTTATAGAAGGCTAATCTTGAGCAGTAAAGCTCAGGGGCAGTACCCTGGCCCTGAATTCAAACCCAGGACTGGCAAAAATATTTTAAAACTAAACAATTGTTATTTGCTCATTATATGACAGTTTCTAGACAAAATTAATGTTTGATAATAGGTTGTTTCAAATAGAATTAAATAATTATTTGTTGTTGAATACTGATGTGGGGAATGGACATTTCAAAAATGGCTATCATAGACCACATTACCCACCAAGGTCATCTCTAATCACTAAGTTTTTTTCTAGTCAGAACAATTTTACTCATGCAAAACCATACTCATGTAAGCACACATACACACAATTACTCTTTTTTATCCACATTTTATGCCATGCTTTCTCATACTTTGAATGTCTTTCTTCATCTTTTTCAGTAATAGCCATTATTTTCTTCATAACTTCTTTTCAAATATCTACTTTAGTCTAACTTTTCAGTCATCAAACATTGTGTGACTTTGTATGCATTCAAGGTTTAAAATTAAGTCAATTATGCTTTCAAAATAGTGAAGCTAGAAGGAAGCTTGAGATCTTTGAATAGTGTGGCCTTGAAATTTATACTCACCATTGTAATAGGTAATCACTTGGAGATGTTCTAGTGTTGAATTAGCATGAAGCCAACATAATGAAACCTACCCAACAATATTAGAAGGAAAAACAGTAGAGGGTGGTAAAGGCATAGAATAGAGGGAACAAAGTTGTTCAAGATACACTGTGCTCTGTCTAGTAATGTATGCTAACCTTCTCAGTATTCTTTCCTCTCCCACCCCAGTACACTAAATACTCCCATGGAGACTCCTTTCTGCATTCACAAATATCTTTGATCGTCATAATTTCAGATCTAAATTCCACAAATGAATGATAATTGGCCTTTTGAAGTTCATTCATTTTACTCAACATAATGATTTCTAGTTCATTCACATTCTGGCAAAGGGCACAATATATATTTTTCTGGGTAAGACACTATTTCTAATTATCTTTTTAAAATTAGCATTAATGAGTATTGCAAATATGTTTCATTTTGTTGAGTGATGAAACTAATTCACTGTTTCCTTTAAAATGCAAAATTTCCTTTTTTATTTTTTGTCAGTCATGGGGCTTGAACTCTGGACCTGGGCATTGTCCCTGAGCTCTTCAGCTCAAGGCAAATACTTGAGCCACGGCGTCACTTTTGGTTTTCTTGTGGTTAATTGGAGGCAAGAATCTCACAGACTTTCCTGCCTGGTCTGGCTTTGAACTGTGATCTTCAGACCTCAGCCTCCTTAGTAGCTAGGATTATAGGCATGAACTGCCACCTACACCCAGCAGATGATTTCCTTTATTGTGCATAATCTTTTCTGTTTGACATATTCACAGTTGTAAAATTTTGCTTGTATTTCCTGTGCATTTGGGGTCTTATGTAGAAAATCACATCTATACCAATGTTTTGAAGTCTGTTCATTAGGGACTTAAAGCATCTCAGGTCTTAAATGTCAGACTTTATCCATAGTAAGTTCATTTTTCACAGGGTAAACAGTGTTTTAAAAGCATTTTTACTAAGGGTACCAGTGGCTTACACCTGTAATCCTAGATACTCAGGAGGCTGATATCTGAGGATTGCAGTTCAAAGACATCCCAGGCAGAAAAGTCTATATGAGACCCTTATCTCCAATTAATCACTCAAAAATCTAAGTGGAGCTGTGGGTCAAAGTAGTAGAGCACAAGGCTTGAGGAAAATTGCTCATGAACAGTGCTCTGGCCCTGAGTTCAAGTCACATGACTGACAAAAATAAAGGGATATTCTAAAATTGGAACAATACATAGAAGATTAGCATGGCCCCTGTGCAAGGATGACGTGCAAATTCATGAACCCTTCCATATTTTTCACCTTCTCAGCAGTATGTGGAATATTCTCCAAAACGGACCACATTAGGTCACAAAGAAAACCTGACCAAATTCAGAAACATCGATATTATACCCTGCATTCTCTCAGACCAGAATTCAACACCAAAAGCCACCAAAGGAAATCCTGTAACACATGGAGGCTGAACAACACAATGTTGAACCACCAGTGGGTCATGGAAGAGATTAGAAAGGAAATTCAAATGTTCATGACTTTCAACAAAAATGATCACACAAATTATCAGCTCCTCTGGGACACAGCAAATGCAGTACTCAGAGGCAAGTTTATAGCTCTGAGTTCCTACATAAATGAATTGGAAAGATCTGAACCCAGCAATTTAATGAAGCACCTAAAGCTCCTTGAAAAAGAACAACAAGCTAAACCCCAAGCCAGTAGACAGAAACAAATAATTAAAATTAAAGCTGAATTAAATGAATTAGAGCCCAAAAAACTATAGAAAGGATTAACAAAACAAAGGGTTGTTTGAAAAAATTAGTAAAATTGACAGACCCTTAGCAAATCTTATGAGACAAAAAGGGAAACCACCCAAATAAACAAACTCAGAGGTGAGAACAGAAACATCAATACAGAAACAGCCAAGATTCAGAATATAACAGGGGGATACTTCTCAAATTTTAGGCTAATAAATTTGAGAATCTAAAAGATATGGACAAATTTCTAGCAAATATTGACATGCCCAAACTAAACCAAGTTGATTTAAAACAACTTAATAGACCCATATCAAGCATACAAATAGAAGCAGCAATAAAGGAACTCCCACCCAAGAAAAGTCCAGGTCCAGATGAATTACAGCTGAATTCTACAAGGCCTTCAAAGCAGAACTCAAACCAATACTCCTCCATCTCTTTAATGAAACTGAAAGCAAAAATTCATTGCCACACTCTTTTTATGAAGCCAGCATAACCCCCATCACAAAACCAGGCAGGGACGCATCAAAGAAAGAGAACTATAGACCCATTTCTTTTATGAATATTGATGCAAAATTTCTCAACAAAATCTTGGCCAATCGACTTCAACAACTCATCAAAAGAATAATACACTACAATCAAAGACAATTCATTTCAGGGATGCAACACTGATTCAATATTCACAAAGCAATTAATGTAATTCATCATATTAACAAGAGCAAGGATGAGAACCATATGGTTACCTCAATAGATACCGAAAAAGTATTTGACAAATCCAACACCCCTTTCTGACGAAGGCTCTGGAAAAACTAGGAATCCATGGAACATTCCAAAATATAACAAAATCTATATAGACAAACCTACAGCCAGACTTAATGGCGAAAAGTTAAAGCTATTTCCTCTAAATTCAGGAATGAAACAAGGGTGTCCACTCTCTCCACTACTCTTCAACCTAGTATTAGAATGCTTAGATACAGCAATAAGACAAGATGCAGACATAAAGAGGATCCAAAGAGGGAAGGATGAAGTAAAACTCTGTTTCTTTGCAGATGACATGATCTTGTATTTAAAGAACCCAATGGATTCCACTCCCAAGTTACTTGAGCTGATCAGAAACTTTAGCAAAATAGCAGGGTATAAAATCAACCCTCAGAAATCAATGGCTTTCTTGTATGCCAAAAATGAGAAGAGCACGGCCGGAATTAGGAAAGTAACCCTTTTTGTAATAGCACCACAAAAAAATTAAATATTTAGGAGTTAACAAAAGAGGTGAAGGACCTATACAATGAAAACTTTAAAAACATGAAAAAGGAAATTAAAGCAGAACTAAGCAAGTGGAAAATCCTCTCATGCTCCTGGATTGGGAGGATTAACATCATGAAAATGGCAATACTGCCAAAGGCTATCTACAAATTCAACGTGATACCTATCAACATCCCAACCTCATTCTTCAATGAAATAGAAGAAGCAATCCAAAAATTAAAATGGAACAATAAAAGACCCCGAAGAGCAAAAATAATCCTTAGTAGAAAGAACAGCGCTGGACTAATATCAATTCCAAATTTCAAACTCTACTACCAAGCCAGAGTAATCAAAACAGACCTGAGGACTAATGGAATAGGACTGAAGACCCAAAAATGAACCCACAGACCTATAGTCACCTAATCTTTGACAAGGGAGGTAAAGAAACAGAATGGAAGAAAGACAGTCTTCTCAGTAAATGTTGCTGGTTAAACACTTGTAGAAAATTAAACCAGATCCATATATATCACCCGGCACCAGAATCAACTCCAAATGGATCAGAGACCTCGAAATAAAAGCAGACTCCATGAAAACATTAGAGGAAGGAATATGAGAAACTCTAGGGCTCCTTGGCACAGGTTGAAATTTTCTTAATAGAGACCCAGAAACACAACAAATTAAAGAAAGTTTGGAGAAATGGGATTGCATGAAACTGCAGAGTTTCTGCATGGCAAAGGACATAGCTAGCAAGATCAATAGAAAGCCCACAGGTTGGGACAAGCTATTCACTAGCCATTATTTACCATAGCTAAGATATGGAACCAACCAGATGACCCTCAGTAGATGAATGGATCAAGAAAATGTGGGATATACATACAATGGAATTCTATGCCTCCATCAGAAAGAATGGCATTGCCTCTTTCATTAGGAAATGGAAAGACTTTAGAAAAAAATTATATTAAGTGAAGTAAGCCAGGCCCAAAGAAACATAGGTCCCATGGTTTCCCTTGTTTGCAGTGACAATTACATGTCTAGGACAAGCAGAGAAGGTCAAAGGCTATGTACATACGACCACATGAGATAATGTTAAACAAAATGTACCCCAAGACAGGGACACAAGAGTTTCTTTTCCTGCTAGTACTTACAATGCACTATGTGATTCTTTTGTTCTTCCCCTATGGTATAACTTTTTTTCCCTGGATTTGATGCTGGTGTTCTGCACCTTGTATATTCATTTCTGAAATTTGGGGAGGGGAAATGATATTGCAGAAGCTTAAATGGGGATGCAAGCTGATTCATTGTGACAACAAGATTACAGGACACTATATTGAAAATGAACATTACAATGTCGGGGGGGGGTCTGGACCAATTGGGGAGACGGGGAGGGAAGTGATGGTAGGGGGAAAATAAAGGAGGAGGTAACAATGATTGCTATGAAATGTATTCATTACCCTACTCATGTAACTGTAACCCCTCGGAGCAACATTTTTGATAAAAAATAATAAATAAAAGAATAAAGGTATATTTACTAAAAATGATCACATAAAGTGTGCGAACACTATATTTTCACAAGACAAATATCAGATCTACTTAAACTGGAACTTCCCCCATTTAAACCGTATATACATATTTGTATACACAGTTAATACATGTTTCTCCACTTCCATTCAACCATCACTATTCTCTACTATATTTCAGTGCTTTCTGACTTCAGTTATGCAAACTGTAACTTTGTTGCTTCTGTAGAAAATTGTATCTGTTATTTCTTGTTTAGGACCTACAGACAAAAAAGAAACGAAACTTGTTCCAATTGACTACTATAGTCTTTTAGCCCTCAAGTACATTATATGTATTTGTATTTAATTATGCTTTTTAATCTTTTTCTGTTTTCAATAGTCCAAACAGTTTTAGAAGAATAATTGTGCTTTCTGTATTTTGTCTACTTATTTCTTTAAGACCTATAAAAAGTGCTACATATGTGTGTGGTATATGAACACATACCTTTGCAAGCTCTCATCAGATTTATTTTGAAAGACCCCAGCCCGTGCTTGCCCACTAGGTACCCCAAGAAAATTGCTGCCCCTTACCCTGCATACCTAAGGGGGTGGTGGGGCAGGATAAGTGCAGGCCGCTAACCAGGAAACGAAACCTCGAGCCTCTGAGTCACCGCCTGCAGACCCTAGCCTGACCCTAGTACATGCCTTAAAACCAGGCATTCCGGTAAAATAGCCGACCAACACATTCCTTCCTGTAACACTTAACCCTGATAGCGGGGTAAGGCAGGATGTAGTAAATCACTTGTCAAAATTAGGGAACGAACAGTTTCGGTGCATAACGACCCGCACAGACTTGTCCGGGCAAGTACCGACACGTCAGCCTTCCCCCAACCCCACCTACCCCATCTGGCTAGCTTAACCTGACCAATCCTCACCCTGAGCGTAATTTGAAATTAACCAATCATCCCCCTGTAACCACGCATCTCGCTTCTGTAACCTCGCTTCTGCTGTCCATAAAAAGAGGGTGCTTTCAAGCATTCGGGGCGCGCAAGTCTTCCGACAGACTTTGTCGCCCCGGGTACCCGTGTAACCGGTTCTCAGACACTTGACCCGAACCTTGTGGATCTCGTGGTTGAGTGCACCTGGGAGCCGAGGCATGCCCGAATAAACCTCTTGCTGATTGCATCCGCACAAGTGGTCTCGTTGTTCCTTGGGGAAGGGTCTCTTCTGATTGAAGGACACCCCAAGTCTTCGGGGGTCTTTCATCTGGGGGCTCGTCCGGGATAGAGACCCCCACCCAGGGACCACCGACCCATTTCCGGGAGGTAAGCTGGCCAGCGTCTGTGTGTCGTCTGTGTGCTGTCTGTAAGCTGTCTGAAGTCTTGTGTGGCCAATTTCTGTGCGCTTGCGAATCTGGTGAGTTCGGCCATTCTCGTCTGTATCAGGCGGACCCGTGGAGGAGCTGACGAGCTCGTACTCCCGACCGCGGTCCCCAGGAGACGTCTTGGGGGCTTCTGCGAGCCTGAAAAAGTGGCTCATCAGGGTGGCCTGAAAAAGTGGCCCGTCAGGGAACCCAGTCCTCTTGGACGCGTGGTTCATCAGGGGAGACGAGAGATCCGGACTCTCAATAAAGTCTCCATCAGGTTTTGCTTTCAGTTTGTTAGCAAAAACGCGCAGCGAAGCTAAATGTTCTAAGTGTTGTCAGTATTGTTTTTGTGTTTGTTAAAATCTAAGCATGGGACAGACTGTCACAACCCCCCTTAGCCTTACTTTACAGCACTGGAAGGACAGCCTGAGCCTAGATTGTCAGGTTTTA